AATGGACAAGGAAATGGAAACTGGGGGTATGTCGAGGTTACCTTTGCTTAGCACGGAATGAAGGAATGGAAAAGACAATGCAAACTACAATAATGGTTTAAGGCTTAGGGTTTAAGCTACATGAGGGCTGTTTTGGTGGCCAGCCGAATTACTCTACATCTCTTGTAGAATTTGACCGGATAACCTGAGAAAGGATGGCAGGCATAACAACCTCAGAGGAACAAGGAACGTCTAGATCCACCTTATGGGAACCCTTCGTGAGATCATCTTGCCACCCTATCAACAGATAACTGCCCGACACAATCTGGTATTCCGTGGGTGTTTATGGCTGGTGGCTAGTTCTCGCTTACGGTTTAGCGCTTAGGGAAATCAGAGCCATTCTCATATCAAGACACGCTTCCCCTGTGTCTGTTCCAACACACGTAAACCTTGCAGACGAAACCGAAAAAAAAATGTGATGCCTGTCGTCCCTGGGAGCCAGAAAGACCTACTCCGCTTCTTTGAACTCGCCGCTGCTTTGGCTTCCAACGAAGAAATGGTAGTTTTCATAAATGGGGGACCTCAATACAGGCACTCAAAATGTCCTTATGGAGACCCCCCAAAAAGTAACCCTAGTTTTGTGAAAGCCCCAAATCCTAAAATCTGAGTTAAGGCCAGCCTCGTCTCTGTAGCTGGCGAGATGTACATATAGAACACCATGCTTCCAGTTACTGATTTGGATCTCACTTGGGCAAAATAGTTTACACGTTTTTTTAAATATAGGATTATAGGAACTCAAAAACGTAGTGTGTACCTACCTAGCTGCTGACTCTTGCTATACTAGACCCTTGTATGATCCTATCTCATTGTTCCCAGAGCCCATTCCCCCATTCCCCACCAGCCATCAGAGGGCGTTCCAGGTTCAAGTATTGTTTCGGGATGCTGCTAAATCCTGAACCCTAACCGTAAATTCCAAACACAAAACCCAAGCCTCCTAAACCCTGAACCCTGAAACCACAAGTCATGCGTCCTAGAAGGCTCACCTAGGTGACCTTGAAATCTGAGAGATTACGCAAACTTGAAAGAAACGCCTTGTCTACATTACCCTGAGAATCCGAGTGCAAAAGTACGACGGGTTTAGGCCCCTAAAGCAAATTCAGATTACAGCGCTTGGGGCTAAGAACCGTTATTTGTGGACATGGACTCTTGGGCTAACACAATTCCCTAAACCCTGAACCCTAAACAACGCGCTGCTCCTGCCCACGAGGTCAATGCAGTTCTCCTGCAGATCCATGGGGAATGAACGCTAGCAGCATAAACAGAACCCGCTTGGACGCACTCTTGGGCCCAGCAATAACCAGAAAAACAAAACCAAACCGCAAGCCAAAGGATCCGAGATTAAGAAAGTAATAATTTACTTCGGGTTCCTCTTAACAGTAATCATCATCGTTGTGGAAGGAGGAAATCTTGGAACACCTAGGACCAAACATTTGTGTAATGATTGAGGTACAGGCCATTTCAGGCATTGCAGGATTTCCTCCATGAACAGAAGGCTTCTTGGAGTATATGACCCGCAGGGCAAGCAACAAAGCCACATGGGCAGAACCCTGGGGTAAGGGAATTGTGATGCGGAATGTTGGGGCTTTAAACCCTGAACTGTAAACCCTATCACTCAGGACCTGAACATGCGCCTATTTGACGCTTGATTTGCAAGACTCGGTTGTTTAGGGTTCAGGGTTTTTGAAAGTTTGAAAAAGTCTTTGCTTGGAGTTGTTGTTTTGGACCTGCTAGAGAACCACATTGAACCCGAATTGCTACACTCCCATGAGGGGTTACTGCTCTTTACTTTTACTTTAAATGGTTTTTCTGGACATAAAAAAAAAGCGTAGACAAATCACCGCACGCTCTGCAATTCAAGCAATTGCCGAATTGACGCCTACATTATGCTCCTTCCTATTCACTTCGTCGGCTTCCCATATACTGAGAAACATAAACCGGCAATTCCAAACTCAAATCACAAACCCTAAACCCCAAACCCCAGCCTGATATGACACCGCTTCCCGTGTCCTGCACTTTCTCATGCCTGTTCTTCAGGATGGGTGTCAATCGCGGAAGCAAGTCCTCAAGACATGACCGTAAACCAGAGGTTTCTGGTGCTGGGTCTAGGATTCTATAAATGGCTTGCAGCTCCGGATTCATGCTCCTTCTTGGATGAATATCCCTGAGGATCTACTTCAGAAAAACGCCTACTTGAGCACTGCAGTCACAAAACAGTAATTACTTCGGGCTGCTTAGAACCCCAGGGCGAATGAACATTGGGACCCTTCTCCTTTTGCAAGATCTTTTCAGAACTCTCTTCGTGGCCAGGTGGTCCATTACGTTCCACTATACTATCCAGACCCACTCATGAAACAGGAGCTATGCCGTAGAGCCCAAAACCCAAAACCCTAAACAGCTGTTCTGTATGCGCGACGGGATGAGGATCTGCGCATTCTTGACGGATTGCCCACAAGCGTTAAATCTTAATATGAACACAAGGAGCCCTGAACGGTAAAGCCAATGCTTAGGGTTCAGGGTTTAGGCTTTAGGGTCCAGAGTTCAGGGCTCAGGGTCTAGGCTTCAGGGTTTAAGGTTCAGGTGCAGGCTTTAGGGTTTAAGGTTCAGGGTTCGGAATTTAGTGTTTACGGCTTTCGAGGTTCAGGGTGTACGGGCTATAGTGGAGGCTTGTCAGGATGAGAAGCCCTTTTGCAGAGTCCTCCTAGACGTGCCGAGGAGACTATGTTAGGGGGGTAGATACACGGGCCTTGATTTTCAGAGGAAGTACCCATAGCGGGGGTCTCCATAGATGGCGGGGGGCCTCACCAAGAAGGATCTTGACATTTCAATGTAGGGGCCTAGATGTTGCCTGCTGTGGTCTGTTTGAGGTACTCTCTACCATGAACATACAAGGACCTAGGACCATAATATTGGTAATTGCTTCTTGGAAGCTGCCATATTACCAAGACCCTGATACCCTTTTCTAGGGTACCTAAGTTCATGTCTAGTATCTTTACATGCAGAATTAAGTGCCGTACGCATGGGGTAGGGTATGGTGGTCTAGGCCATACTGTTGATGGAGGAAATCTTGCACCACCTGAAATCCTTAAAGTCCTAGGAATTATAGTAGTTTAGGGCCCCTAGGTGGTGCAAGATTTCATCCATCAACAGTACCCCTGGCAGCCTTGATTGGCGGCGTCATCTTTGTCATGCCAATGACGTTGACGATGGCCTTCAGTGCGCCCAAGATGGAACCTTAGCCGAGAAGTCAGAGATCGTGCCCCTCAATTTGGGAGGTTCTGGGCGTGGGAATTAAGGATGGTTGAGGAGGAAATGGCCGCAAGTGGATTTTCAGGGAGTACTACTGGAGATGGTAGATGGGAATCTACTCCTCTATTGCCAACTAACCACGTCCAAGAAGCTTTAACGGTTTGGTTTCTAGGGTTTAGGGTCTACCGTGGGGTTTAGGATTGAATACCTTAAAGGGCCCCCAAACACATGCAAACGGGGCCAGTTATACCACCCAAATTGGATCAAGTTGAAACGCAAAAAAGGCTGAACCCTACACCGCATGGACGGTAGCTTAAAAACGGACCCTTGTCCTCTTCCCCGCATCATGTACAGATACCAACACCTAATGCCTCGGCCTCTGATGTTCAAGCAAGAACTCGAAAATTATGATGCCTCAGCCTCTGATTGTCGGGCAAGAACGCAAAAATTCTGAATTAGTTTACCCTCCCCCCAGCTGACATGAAGCCCAGAAAGGGCACGAGAAAGACTGAAACCCTTGTGGCATGGGGATTTGTGAGCTTCCATATTAGTTTGGGGAGGGTCGCTACATGAAAGGCAAAGGGAAGCCCAAAGGTTAGCCCAGGATCAACTCACTGTAACGCATACTACCGCCAGTTCCCCCTCAGCCTGAACCCTAAATCTAAACCCGAAACCCCAAACCCGAAACCCTAAACCCTAAAACCCGATCCCGGCACCCTTTATAAGCATTGGCTTTACGATTCAGGGCTCCTTAGACCGAATGGCTCTGACTACGTTAGCAGTGGCTGCGCTTCCAAGCCAGAAGCATCCTAATGGCTCCTGCCGTAGAGAACGCACCACACTGGTGCAAACCAACGAGATCTGCAGGAATGGGGCCTACACCTTGTCAGGTTTAAGGTGTAGGGCCCTAAACCCTGAGCGGCAATCCCTCTATTCTAAACCCATACTGAGCCCACAGATTATAAGAGACCACAGGACATTTACCTGCTGAGAACTTGGGTTCTTGCCTAGACCCTGAACCCTAGATTCTGAGCTCTAAACCCTAAAACCAAAACCTAAACCCTAACCCCTAAAACCTAAACCCCAAACCCTAAACCCCTAAACACTAAGTCCTATATCCCTAACCCCCTAAACCCTACACCCTGTAAATGAGACATCTTCAAGCTGGGCCCCGTGCCCAGGACTTCGGGATACTCTTCGCCCAGGTACTCGTAGAGGAAGAGGCCAAGATGCCTTTTGTAAATGTACGAATGGGGTGTACCTTTGAACTGTAGTCTCCTTAAACCCATAATAACAATATTATCTTCAATATTTCCTTAGGGTTATACTATAATAACAGCTAACAATAACTCCTAAGGACAGTACAGTAAAGGGGATATAGGGGTTATATAGGGGCTATAATATAGGGTTTAGGGTTTGGGGTTCTTAGGGTTAGGGGCTTAATGTAGGGCTCAGGGTTTTAGCAAGGTCCTGAATCTTGAATCGGTTAGAACAGCTTTTGGGGTTTTGCATGTGCATCTGCCTGAATCAGAAAACTGGAAATGTCTTCTGAAGCAGCAGGTACAATCATCAAAGGAAAGCTACCGAGTTGCAGGGAGATGTTAAGTTAAAAGTCACAACCCCGCATCCAAATAACCAGCTTTCAGGAAAACCATGAAGAGACCAAGTCAGGTTGTGGAGCCTTCTTGAGGAGATGCGAAGAGACCTAATTTAGGGCTACCAACACCACTGTGAGGTCAATTAGAACAACCATATACAATCATTGTAGTTCGAATCTGGGACCAAAATGTTGGAAATCAATTGGGCCCCTACATTAGGGGACTGCAAAAAAAACGTAGTGACTTGGGACTCCACTGTTGTAAGAGGGGTGACGGCATTGCAGCGGCCTGCATAACATGCTCAGATTCGGGGTTTGGAAGACTATACGGGAGAACATTGGCTATTGTTCAAACTACTACAGTATCCAGCATTTCACAGTTAGAATTCGAGTAACGTCCCTGAGACCTAAACCCTAAACCCCTGAACCCCTTAACCCCTAAACCCTGGTTTAAGTGTTGGGAACTGATGCAGCGCCTGAATCTTTACTGGCCCTTATGAGGCTGTACATGCAGGAGACATGGCCTAAACAGACAAATGAAGGGTTTAGGGTTTAGGGTTTCGGGTTTCATGCCTTCATACTAATATTAAACATCACCCCTAACATATCAAATGATATATGAAATGATCCTCATGAGAGGCCTCATATGTTGAGAGTACGTCTTTCATACCAGGGGATGGAGAGTGTCCAATATTGGTATGCAGTGATTTGTAGAAAGTAAGCCCTGAGCTCTGAACTGCATAGGTAGAGGCTGCTTACCGAAAATGCCGTGGGCCCAATGTAGGTATTATTTGGCGGTTTCCCAAAATCAGGTGTACCTTTCTTGGGGATCCCATTGTTCGGACTATAGTATTATGGGGTATATATTGGGGTCCCTCTATTTTGAGAAACTATCGTTATAGACATGGAGCCCCAGATTTAGAAAACCCAAACCCTAAACCCTGAATCCTAAACCCTAAATCCTAACCCTCAACCCTAAACCCTCAGCCTTTGGTTCAATCCTGGGCCCCGGACCCCATCATCTGCTCCTGTAACTGACTCCAAGCAGGGGATGTTGGTTTACGGTGTAGAGCCAAGGGTCTAGGGTTCAGGGTTAAGGGCTGTTGATGCTGAAAATCCTTCATGACTCTAGTATATTATTTACTGTAGTCCCATAATTCCCATGGTTTAGGGTATTGAGGGCCATGCAGGATTTT